TTCTTTCTTTCTTTCTTTCTTTCTTTCTTTCTTTCTTTCTTTCTTTCTTTCTTTCTTTCTTTCTTTCTTTCTTTCTTTCTTTCTTTCTTTCTTTCGCTCAGTTCCAATGCCTGTGCTAGAGCACCTGGTTCAGCCTTCTGTGCTGAAACACCTGATGCGAGAGCCTTAGATGGGCAGTTTTTAAAAGTCCGTAGTCCAAAAGGCAGGACTAGTAATTCAAAACTAATGATCCAGTAATTCAGAATTAATGATCTGGTTGGCAATTCTGAGAAAGGCAAGCAACTCTCTTTCAGTTCATGGTCATGCTTGGTTTCCTTTGACCTCAAAACTCGGAAAGGTCACACAGTCTTCTTCACCACTTGGGCCTTCGCCCTTGATACCCTGTGATTACTTAATGCTAAAAAGTTTAACAATTCAACAGTCAGGTCTCAGGACTGTTCTTCATTTTGGTGGCTATCAGGATATCAACAACAAATTGTAACTCAATCCTCTGCAGATTAAAGTTTCCTTCAATTCTTCTGCCAGTTATTTCCCAGAAATTGTGGGACTATTTTTAAATCCTTGTGGTAACACAGTCCTGTCTGTGTATTTTCTTACTGAACTGCGAAGAATTCCTGGCTGTCATGGCCTAGAGGTGTGCAGAAAAGGTGTGTAAATCTATTACAGTGAACCATTCCAAATTTTCCTTTAGTGTGGTTAAGAGTGCATATGGGTTAGCTTCCATACTATTTTATTAATTGCTATTAAGTCTTGTACTAACACATGATCTTTACCATTAGTATTTTTTATTTTTGACTGGCACAATGGGAGGATTATATTTAGATTCACATTTCATCAATAATCTGTACCTTAAAAATTTGTTAATGACAGGTAATAAGCCTTTTCAGCTTTCCAGTTTTAATGGTTATTGGTTTTGTTTTACCACGCTTGTGTCTGATTTTAGTTTGATCCTTAGAGGTTCCTCTCTTCTTGATTTTCCAGGAATCCCACTGGCCCACACAGTGAGGATTACTGCATCCTTAATATTCTTTGGAATCGGTTCAGATTGGGAAGTCAGTTCCTGCAAAATAAAAATTTGAACCTTCCACATATTTAGGCTGAGAGATTTTAATGTGAATGTCTCCTTCTCAATACTTGATTGCATTCAATTTTTCCAGTAAATTTCCTCCTAATAATGGTTTTGGAGAGTTAGGCAAGTACAAAAAATGATGGGCTCTCCATAATTTTCCCAGTTTGAATGTCATTGGATTGAAAAAGGGGCACATTTCACAAATCCCAGTTGCACTGACAGTTGTGATGGAATCATCACTTAACGTCCCTTGCAGGGTGTTTAACACCAAATAACCAGCTCCTGTGTCTATCAAAAATTCCAGTTTTCCATTTCCCAGCATGGCTGTTACCACAGGCTCTGCTGGGGATAAAACCTCTGGTCCCTTCACAGATACCCAGCCATTGCCACAAGAGGGTTTGGAGAAGTCCTGGGTTTTAGGTGGGAACACTGCTGCTTCCTTTTTACAGTATGGGCATTGATTTGTTCCCAGTCTTCCTAATGAAGGTTGAGGAACTGAACCCCTTCCTCTGCCACGAGACCCCCCCCTGCTCCCTGGGGGCAGGAGTCCTTTGCTGATTTCTTCTGTAACTGCTGTTATTTTCTGTGGTCACCTTCCACTGGTTTTTTCCATTTTCTGTGTACTGCCCATACCAGATTGTTTACCCATATCAAAACCATCTGTTTCCTGGATTTCCTGCAGTTTTATTCAAATATCATCAGGGACTATACAATGAAAATAGGAGCCAGGCAACTTTTTCCTTCCCCCTGAACCTTCTCTTATCTGTACTGCTTTCTTGTCTATGCCTGTAGCCGGCCTTCTCAGCCCTCTATGCATTGGACTTTTCAAATACATTTAAACCTTCTTTCTCGTGACAATCTAAATGCTTACAGCAGACATGAACCATGCTACACGTATAACAACAACGTGTAATAGTTTTCTCTTTATTTTCCTTCTCTAAAGCCTAAACAAAAGTATCCAAAGGTGTTAAATTAGTACCGCAATCCTTTTGCTATTCAGGGTGATTTCTCAAATTGAAAAACATTTTCGTGTCCATCACTTCATCTCATTTTGTTCTTGATGCAAGAATAACATCACTTGTAACAGAATGTTGAGAGGAATGACGAACTTGTCTTTACAAACAAGCTGTGGGTCTGCTGGTAGATAAGACTAGCACTGAGAGATAACAGAAACAATAGGAAGAATTCCACTGATTGATGAATGGAAAAGGTATTTGCCTTTACAAACAAACTGTAGATTGACTGATAAGTGAAATTGGATATTGAAAGATGAAAGAAACAATGAGCAAAAACTACGAATTCTATAAGAATTAAAAATTAAAGGGCGGGTTATACATTAGAGGGGAATTTCAGGTATCAGGCGTTCCGGGAAGTCTGTGCCTCTCAAGTACCTCAGCCAATGGGGAAAGAGAGAGGGAAATGCGGCCGGGGAAATAGGATAAAAAGGGAGGGTGCATCCTCCAAAATCTGAGAGATCCCAGGGAAATGTCCCATGGCCTCTCCCTTTATCCAAATAAAGTAAAAGGACTCCTCTGTCTCCTTTTTAGACATGAACTTCTGGTGTTTGTGGATTAATTTTCCAATTAATTAATGTTATAGTGCCACCCCCATTGCTCACTGTCACCTTCCCCAGCCCGTTCCATCACTCCATCTCCATTCCATCACTCCATCTTTCCAGAGGCTGGTCCATCACAGGGGATGTCATCAATGCATTCAGTGCCTGCTTCTTGGCCAAGTGTCTGTAAATTTGCTTTGGAAATGCCTTCCATTGTGTGACTCCATTCTTTCTGCAGCGCTGTGTCCCCAGAACTTGTTTTCAAGGCCCAGGACAGCGTCCCAGGCAGTGACATGGGACACAGGCTATGTTTGCAGTCTTCCAGTGGTTGTTTTCACCACCACAGGCTCACAGCACTTGCCGTGGTGGGTTTGGGGCAGTGTGCTGAAGTCAGTCTGCCAGGCCTCCCCATACTTGTATTCCAGCCCTTGTGAACAAAACCCTCCCTAAATAGGTTTTTGATTTGGGAGGTCAAAAACTCTTTAATTTGATATTTCTGAGCCCAAATCCTCCCTAAATGAGTATTTCTCAGCTCCATAGATTGGTGTTTGGACACCCAAATATCTTCAAATACGTGTTTCTCAGCTCCAGATCTTTCTAAATTGCTGTTTCTGAGTTCAAAATACCCCTAAATTGCCGTCTGTGAGACTCAGAGCTCCTTAATTTTTTTTTCTACAGCCAAAACCCTTTCAAAACAGTGTTCTGGAGGCACAAGGCCCCCCAGATGATCCTTTTCAGCTCCAAAGCTCCTCACATCACATTACAATCATAATACAGCAGCCATGCTAATGAAGTTGAGGCTTCCTAAGCCGTGAAGTTCCCGAAATCAGTG